TTCTGCTAACAGCTTAGATTTAGGTGAATGGAACCCAAACAGCAACATGATGTACGTATGACTATCACCTCTGGTAGCCTTGCTATCCTAAGGATTAGCCAGGTACAGATTGTTTTGCCAGTAGGCAAAACAGGCTGGACCTGGCTAATCCTGGCCCTGCCAAACACTGCAGCATGTCATTGTTCCCTTACTACAGGGGTGTCCAAACTTTTTTTAAAGAGGGCCAGATTGGATGAAGTGAACATGGTGGAGGGCCGAACATTTTTCCGAACATTCTTTGAACCATTACAATTAAATGAAAATAAATTATTTTATGCCAAGTTAATTGCAAACGACATACTTTTCATTTCATAACATTAAGATCAACTGACAGCTGAGTTTTCACAATGTATTGAAAATAAATTAAAAAAAAACTTACCTGCACTAATGTGAAGGGTGAAAAAGGTAGCTGGAGCTGAAGTCTCTGCTCGGCAGCCTGGGAGGGGAAGAGAAACACACTTCATGCTGGAAGCCCGGCCCTGACGTCACCACCCTCTGTCGCTCCCAGCGCGGCGCAGTCACGCATGCGCACTGCTCTCAAGCAGAAGACTGTCTGCCGCAGAAGGGAGGGCCGTGCGACAGCCGCATTTACACAGACCAGGGAGAACGCGCCGCAGTCAGGCATGCGCACTGCCCTCTGCTCTCAAGCAGAAGACTGTCTGCCATAGAAGGGAGGGCCGTGGGAGGGCCACATTACACAGAGCAGGGAGGGCTGTTGGAGGGCCGTATTAAACGGACCCCTGGGCCGTAAATGGCCCGCGGGCCGGACTTTGGACATGCCTGCCTTACTACATTATCATTCTTAAAGTGTTAAAATAATTAGCTAGTTTTGCTTACATAACTTTTAGCAATTTTGCAGTTAGGCATGATTAAGCTGAATATAACTTCCAAAAACTGCATTTATTTAGATTCCAAAATATCCCAGCATTATGTGAATAAAGGTGTGGTCAGTAATTAATCTTCAAACTTGTGCTTTGCACATTGCCTTTTGTCAAAATGATATGTGCATCAGATGATTCAACGTCTAGATTTTGTAGAAAACCTGCATGAACTACTTTCTATATTGATCATTCTTCTTCACTGACAATGCTTCTGTCTGATTCAGCTAATGCCTGATGCCTGCAGGTGTTAGTGCCTTATCTTCTGGGTCAAAGAACATACAATGTTATCTGCTTCCATGGATGTGTGTAATTGCTTCTTTGTGAGTTGAAGGCTAGAGTTGTAAAACAAACCTTTTTCTTCATATAGTTTATAGAGGTTTAAAGATTTCTCCTCTTGTTTTTTGTGTCATCAAGAAAATGTACTTTTCAGTGGCATTTCTATGACTGATTGATGGACAACATGGTAACAAGTCAAAATGTTCTATTTTAACATGTAAGATTTGAGTGGCTGCTGACAAGTTCAATCACATACCAACTTTGCATCTCGCTCAGCAACTACTAATGTGAGACATTCAAAATTTGACTTCAAGATTATATGATCATTTTTTCAATTTATACTAAAAATTATGCAGACCTTGCATCTCAGTGACAAGATCCACTTATTAAACGACCAAGAGGTAGTGGTAAAGGGGGACTATTGTCCCCAAAAGGCAGGCTTAAGCTGGCATACAATGTAAGGCTGGTGTTTAAGACAGCACTCCAACCTAAAAGTCATGTTTCCCCTCAAGTAGACATAATTAACTATTTGTAATTAATGGCCCAACTTCTGGCATACTTACCAATGTTCATTACGGACATTGTCTGTAACACTTCCCATTGTTCATTATGGCCATTGGTTTCTCATTACACTCTATGCAGTATTAATAAACGTTTATCAATACACTTCATATTCCTCTCTCACTTTAGCTGCAGCATTTCTCCACCAGCCCAGTAACCTATCACCTCACTCCTGGTGACATTAATTCATATGTTTTACATGAATATTAGGAAGCTGTACTCTGTACTGAAACTGTGCTTACTCTTCTTCCAAGGCATCACCACATCTTCTGTGACTCCCAAGCTGGGTCCTTGGACAGCCCGTTCCACAATATTGGACCCAGTACTGGGGTTTTAATTGCTAGGGAAGGAGCCTAAGTATAAAAGCTCCTTCACTACCAGGGTCTCAGTCACATTTGTCAAGTCACCACTTCCCAACTGGCTGGCTACTTATGCACTCAACACTAGTACTGTAGTCATTAGCAACAGCAATACAGCCTCCTCTGAATAGCTTCACTGTAGGTTAGTTATTTGTACTGTATCTTCTCTAAGTTGTCTCCTCTGCTCATTAAGCCCTGTTCTTTGTGGTATGCCATTCATGCATTGCACCCCTTTAAGTGTGCAAGTTGAATAACCATAAACATTATTTACTGAGGTTGTTAAAAAGTAACAATAACAATAAACTTTTCACATGATATCTTCAATAAACATTCCTGTACATGGTTTGTTAAATGCCCATAGTTAGTCATATCTTATACAGGTGAGAAAATCCTTAAATCCTAAAGTTTGTTTAGCAGCAGCATATGTCCATATCCCTGGAACCTCAACTGGACTCCCACAAGGGGTGGTTAAGTGCAAATAGTTCACCTTTTTAGCAGCATTTTGTTCCTCAAAATGGGGAGACATGTAACCATACAGCTGGCCGTCTTACTTCCTGCAGTACCCCTCAAGAAGTAGCTCTTTTCCTTTTATGTGCTTGCCCCAGCAGAGGGTGGTACTTCCCCAAAAAACATGGACAGCAAAGGCAACCCTTACCTCCCAGGGAGTACCACCTCAGCAGGGCAAGCACAATTAAACAGTGCAAGTAACTCACATTAGGATATACAGTTTTGCAAAAATTTTACAAGTTTTACAAAATATGCCAAAGAGAGTGCCAAATGAAAAATCCTTCTTTGAACAAATATGAACAAGTTGAACAATAAAGATTTTGGACATCTAAGGATTTTCATTTTGCACTCTCTTTGAACTATTACACTTGTTCAGTGTATCACCTCTCTCTAAAACGTTGGATAAAATTGGGAGGGGGGTAGATAATATACTTTTGTTTCCCTGACTTCCTCCGGAAGTGCCCAGGCAAGGGTTACTCACTATTATTGAAGATTTGAATTGAAGGAGGATGACACTTCTAGCTCGATCTTAAAAAATATTGAGCCCACATATTGGAAGTTTTCATTAATTTTATGCCACATTTACATAAGGGAAAGCGAGGCCACATTGAAAAAGACGATCTTGGCTGATATACAAGGCCCACTTTATTTTTTTAGGACAAGTATTCAAGGGTCTAGCCCCCCTTTTTTAGGTCCAAACAGTGCTGATACACATAGGTTTAGCAAAATGTTAACACAGATTAGGACATTTTGACAATTTAGCTAAACCTCTGTATTTCAGAACTGTATGGACCTTTAAGAAGGGTGTAGACCTTCTTTAGCTTGTCCTGAAAATATTAGCTGTTAGTGCAAATAAAAAGGTATCATATACGGTATCCACTAATACAACTACAATCACCTTACACATGTTTCCAACAAATATAAGGCCATTGAATAGCCAAATGATAATGCTTTTACCAAAGACACATTTTCTCAGAAATTATTTTTTATAACCTCCAATGTAGAATAAAATAAAATTGCAATGCAGGTTAGCTTTAGATGTAGTGGTTTCATTAGTTTTATTTTTTTAGGCTTTTTTCCTTTACCTTCACCTGGTAATCCTGTGAATAACTCACTTCTTGTCCCTTGGTGGCTATACTTATTCACTCCACTGTATCCATGGAGGGAGCCACAATTGTCACCTTTGCTGCTTTCCTGATTAAGACGACAAATGCATACTCCTTTCTTAATCTTCATTACACAAGGGCCGGGAGATTTACAGTTTTACCGCCTCCCGACCGCCATATAGTAAAATGACGGACGCAAGGCAGTTCTCTCATTCTGGGAAGACGTCATATGACGTCCTCCCATTCTAACCACGCATGCGATCGGCGGTGCACTGTGTCCCTCGGACACAGCGGATCACCGATCAACACAGAAAGAGCCGAAGATGTTAGCTTGGTCATGTGATCAGCTGTGTCCTCCCTCCCTGGTACAAATCCCACCTGGTCCCCCTGGATCCATTCTGGCATTAAATCTTTCAACCTATTTGCTAAAACCTTTGATTATAACTTAGTGTCTATGTTCAAAAGTGAGATTGGTCTATAGCTAGAGCACTGAGAAGCATCTTTCCCTTCCTTTTGAATAAGCACCACATGGGCCTGTAAAGATTCTCGCCTCATCTCCAACTCCCCACCTAGAGCATTCATATATTTCTTCAATTTCGGTATCAACAATTCACTATATTTTTTATAGTACCTCACAGTATAACCATCTTGGCCTGGGCTTTTCCCCGTCATGGTACTTTTTAATGCTATTTTTATTTCCTCTTGATCTTCACTCAACTTCGATAGTCCAGCGTTTTTTAAATATATCCTTCTTTTTTCTCTACTCGCATTTCCACTTTTATTTATTGCATCTTGGGAAGTACCGTATTTTTTCGCTCCATAAGACGCTCTTTTTTTCCCCCCAAAAAAGGGGGGAAAATGTCAGTGCGTCTTATGGAACGAATATGGAGCGGCCGGTCCGGTATTTCCACTGCCGCCGTGTCAGAATACCGGGCTGGCCGCTCAGCTCTGCAGTGGGAGCTTACTTGTTCCTCTATCCAGCGGCGTGCTGTCTTCCCGGCGTCTGTAGTGTGCGTGACAGCCAGGTCCCAAGTGCGCATGTGCAAGAAGCGGTGCTCTTTGTGAATGGTAAGGCCTGGGACACATGACAGATCCCAGAAGCCGCTGGACAAATCACAAAGCGCAGCGCTTCTCGCTCATGCGCACTGGGCATCCGGCTGTCCGCAGAGCACCCACACTACAGAAGCCAGGTAGACAGTGCGCGACTGGATAGAGGAACAGGTAAGATCATAGAAAGTAAAACTCCGCGGAAGTAACCCAAAGGTCAGCAGTCATCTCCTGTACTGTCCGCAGTCTCTGGTCATCTCCTGTACTGTCCACAGTCTCTGGTCATCTCCCGTACTGTGTCCGCAGTCTCTGGTCATCTCTGTACTGTCTGCAGTCTCTGGTCATCTCCTGTACTGTCCGCAGTCTCTGGTCATCTCCTGTACTGTCCGCAGTCTCTTGTCATCTCCTGTACTCTCATCTTGTCATCTCCTGTACTGTCCGCAGTCTCTGGTCATCCCTGTACTGTGTCCGCAGTCTCTGGTCAACTCCTGTACTGTGTCCGCAGTCTCTGGGCATCTCCTGTACTGTGTCCGCAGTCTTTGGTCATCCCTGTACTGTGTCCGCAGTCTCTGGTCATCCCTGTACTGTGTCCGCAGTCTCTGGTCATCCCTGTACTGTGTCCGCAGTCTCTGGTCATCCCTGTACTGTGTCCGCAGTCTGTCAGGAATGGACTTGCCAATAGTGGTGGGACTCACGTGCCTTGTGGGCTGCAGTACCAGGGCTGGCCAGCGGGTGCTCTCAACAACCAGAGGTTCACTTCGGCAATTAGCCATCACCTGGGGCTGATTGCAGGTGTATTTAAGGGATGGCCAGACCTGCAGTCTGTGCCTTGGTGTGTGTTTTTCCATGGGCCCCTGTACCTTGTAACCTGCATTCCTGTTCCTGTTCCTGCCTGACTTGTTGCCGACCCTGCCTGATCCTGACCTCTGCTGACTTCTCCTGTTTTATCCCTGGCTTGTGACCCTGACCATTCTCTCCGCCTGCTTCTCCTGTACCTACCAGCCCGATAGTTATCGACCCGGCCTGCCTGACTACGTTGTGCTCTATATGTGTATGTACCTGTGTATCTATTCTAGTTTAGGTTTGGGTTTGTTTCACCTTGTTGTATGTATTTGTGTTAGCTTGGGGTTTGGTGCACTGCATTTGTTTGTATTGTTAGTCTTAATAAATTGTCTTGTTTATACCATATCTGGAGCCTGTGTTTCCCTGTGTCAGTACACACATCTCTGGTCACACCCGCATCCCTGACACAGTCTCTGGTCATCCCCTGTACTGTGTCCGCAGACTCTGGTCATCTCCTGTACTGTGTCCGCAATTAGTATACCTCATATGTAGGCCTTGTGGGTGTCAAGGTCCAACTTTCCTCAGGGTTTGTGCTGCTCCATGTGCTGGCATCCATCTTGGGTGTCTGCTAAGAATTGTGGGATCCTTTATGCTCTCAGTCCTCTGCAGCTCCTTCCAGGAGGGTGCGGCTTATCACATTTAAGTCTGTCGGTTGCAGCCGTTCTTTGCATTCGTGTCCTGTATGTTGCATTGCAGCAAGCTTTTGTTCAGCTCTCGTTGCTCTCCTGGAAACCGACTCAGCTTTGACAAAGACTCCTCTTGCTCTGACCCTTGGCCCGTTCTGACCATTCTCTGCTTTATTCCATTACCTGACCTCCCGTTGCTGAACCCGGCTCATGACCTGAGTATTCTTGCCTACCGTCTTGTACTGTCTGTTCCGCTGTTATCGACCCGGCCTGTCCGACCACGCTATACGTCTTCCCATCTGGCCCCTACCCGCTATACGCCATTGGCGGCAGCCATTACTGCAGCTGGGGTTACTCGGGGGTCGCGACCTGGTCTCAGGCTGCATCAAGTCCATCCCCACCATCAGGGGCCCTGGTGAAGGGCAGCCTGGGGCTTAGACTCCGCGCCCTGAGGGACTCCGGTCTGTGGGTCATCAGAGGCTGTCGCCAGTCGGTGCGTGACCTTACCATAAGGCCTGCCTGACCATTCCACCGCTCCAGCCCTGACAGTGGGACTCCCATACTGTGGCCACCGACACTTCCCCTGTCTCATTCTCCTGAAAAAATCTTTCAATCTCTTCTCTAATCTTCTGATCAATCTCCTGATCCAGGAGAAGAGCCTCATTTAACTTCCATCCAATACCCCCTGTCCGCCGCCTCCCCTACCCTAATTTCAATGTAACAGGGGCATGGACTGAGAGAGACATTGCCTCTATCTCTACTTTAGCCACCATCTCAATAAGTTGATGATCCACTAATATATAGTCCAATCTCGAGTACATCTCGTGTGCATTAGAGAAGAAGGTGTAGTCTCTCTCTTTTCCATGTATTATTCTCCAAATATCCACCAGTTGGCACTCATGCATCACCTTCTTTAAAATTCTCAGAGACCTACCTCCCTCTCGCTGCACAGGAGAGGTTGTATCCATTTTTGGATCCAAACAAAGATTCAAATCCCCTGCCACTATCAAGCATCCCTTTTTAAAGGCCATCAATTTTCTCAAAACACCTTTCAAATATAACTCTGGTCTCTTATTTGGGCAATAAATATTCGCAATTATACATTCCATTTCTTGCAACCTACCTCTCAAAAACAAAAATCTCCCCTCCAGATCTATTACTCTTTCCTCCAGCTCAAGTCTTATGTTTTTTGCAAGCTCTATTGCTACTCCCTTTGCTCTATTAATTGGGGAATCTGCCTAAAACCATGTTGGATAGTTTCTAGAATTCAACTTAATGTTTGAGTTAATCTCGAGATGTGTCTCTTGCAAAAAGACCACAGAAGCCTCTCTATGTTGCAACTCCTTAAATAGCTTAAATCTTTTCCCAGGACAATTCAACCAATTTACATTATATGTTATAAACTGTAGCTCTTCCATATTTCCTATATCTTTTTTTTTCTCCTCAATTTCCTCTTTTCCACCCTCAATTCCCTTGTACTTCCCTTCCTTATGCAGAGTGTTAACTTTAATACCCCCTCCCCATTCCCTCTTACCCACCCTCCCCTGTTACTCCCTTCTCATCCCCTCCCCCTCCCCTCCCCCAATACCCACCCCCCCCCCCACCCCTCCTCCCATTTTTAGGCCTCTAATTTGCCTATTAATCATTTGTGGGTCTATACCCACCCTTGATTGAACCTTAGGGCTAAACTCCACTCATGAACGGCACTCCCTCCTTCCAACCACCCCAATTACCCTCCATCTGTCTGTTTATTGCTATTAACTTTATTTCTCATGGTGCGTGAAGAGAAAGAAAAAAAACACGAAGCCCCAATGAGACATCATCTAGAGCAGTGGTCGGCAAGCCGCGGCTCGCGAGCCACATGCGGCTCTTTACCCAGTCTAATGCGGCTCTTCTGTGTGCCGGGCGCCTGCTCCCCTCCCTCCTCTCGGTCGGGCGCGCTCCCCTGCCTCCTCTCGGTTGGCAGCCCCAAAAGTCCGCGCGGACCTTTTAATCCGCCTGCGCATGTGGCTGTCAGGATGTGTGTAGGCGGGGCAGCGTGCCGAACGTGAGGGGAGGGGAGCTAGGCTCCTCTCACAGTCCCCCTGAAACCCGAACGGCGCGGGAAGACAGCGAGAGGAACGCAAAAGGTAAGTGAATTGACACGGGGGACTTGGCTTAAAGAAGGGGGGGGGGAATAGTACTGTGGGGGATGAAATACTATATGAGGGATTGAAATACTATATGGGGGGATGAAATACTATATGAGGGATGAAATACTATATGAGGGATGAATTACTATATGAGGGATGAATTACTATATGAGGGATGAAATACTATATGGGGGGATGAAATACTATATGGGGGGATGAAATACTATATGAGGGATGAATTACTATATGAGGGATGAAATACTATATGGGGGGATGAAATACTATATGAGGGATGAAATACTATATGGGGGAATGAATTACTACTTTATGAGGGATGAAATACTATATGGGGGGATGAAATACTATATGAGGGATGAAATACTATATGAGGGATGAAATACTATATGGGGGGATGAAATACTATATGAGGGATGAATTACTATATGAGGGATGAAATACTATATGGGGGGATGAAATACTATATGAGGGGAAATACTATATGGGGGGATGAAATACTATATGAGGGATGAAATACTATATGGGGGGATGAAATACTATATGAGGGATGAAATACTATATGAGGGATGAAATACTATTAGGGGGGATGAATTGCTCTGAATTACTATATGGGGGATGAATTACTATGGGGGATGAATTACTATATGGGGGATGAATTACTATGGGGGATGAATTACATGATGGGGGATGAATTACACTACGGGGGATGAATTACATGGGGGATGAATTACTATGGGGGATGAATTACTATATGGGAGATGTATTTTCAGTTTTAAAAATGTGGCTCTCAAAATAAATTTCAATCATGGTTTTGGCGAGATTTGGCTCAGTTGAAGAAAAAAAAAAAGGTTGCCCACCACTGATCTAGAGGAAACGTCATCGGGAGGAAAAAGTGGAGAGGGGACAGGAAAAAAACAACCACGTGGTCACGCCGTGTCACTCCGTCCCCTCGGCAACCCCACCTCCATCTCTCAGGTCGCCGGGGATCGTCTCTTAGGGATCGGGGCCAGCTTCTACTCCTGCCCCTCTCCCAGCTCCAGCCTCTCACGTCCCAGGCTCAGCTGACTCAGGTAGGGCTCCACGCACCGCTACATGAGGGTTCTCTCGGGGCGGCGGCTATGGAGGTTTGCCGAAGAGCACTCACAGCGTGCTCTCCTGCGCCGCCATGCTCAAAAAAAATAAATAAAATGAATGCCACATCCTGAAAAAGAAAATGAATGCCACAGCCTCATCTAAAAAATGGTAAGCTGCAATATATTTCTCTTTTTCTTGGATTTAGATATACTGTAATTTAAAGAAGCATCTAATCAGTTCTTACTTGAGCTGCCCTTTATTTGACGGGTTGTGAAAGCACTCAGGTTTTGACTTTTTGTATTGATATTTTTGAATTACCACTGCTTTAGGTTGGAAAACTCTAGCTCTCCTATTAGCACTATATGAAATGGCACAGATATACTGCAGTGACAGCTACCAGTGAATCATAAAATGCCAAATCATGAAAATATATTAGTCTCTTTAAAAATATATTCAGCTCGATTCTGGTCAATCACACCTGACAGAGAATTTGATTCATAACTGAGGTGACTAAAATATTACCTCATAATATAGAATGCTATTATCTCAACAGACTGAAAATCCAAGTGGATTTAGAAACAAATATAACTATCAAACAAGAATGTCACCATAAAGGATTTATCATGCATAAGTGCTGCTATTTCATCTCTTTTTTCTTTAATCCTTCATTTCAACGAGTTTTTCAATATTTCCCTGTTGTTTTCGCCTTGAATACAATTTATAGTAAGTATAATCAGACCCCGTAACATCCAATATTGTAAAGGTTTTTTTTCAGGTGTTTTTAGTAGATTTTCTGTTGAGCATCATTATAGCTTACAAAACGCTTGCAGCTTAAGGAGCTATAAATGACAAAATTCATTATCCAAACAATTTAAATGAAAATATGGCTTTGTTATTCGGGGTCAATATCAAATCACAGTGATGCTTTAAATTTAATGTGTTAACTTGAGAAGATAGAACACGTTTATGTTCCCGTAGATTGAAAGAATAAAGCTAAATTCCCTTGGAGTATTGTATCTTCATTCAAGTTATTTGGTGAAACAAATAAGGTATTATAAACATCACTGATGAGAAAATAGAATGACCCTGTGGCCAAACCAGCGTATTTGACAATTTGCTTTCAAATAGGTATTTTCAAATTTGCATTTAGCCTCTCTATTTGTCTTCCGTCTGTAAACAAGGAGTATAGTGCATATTAAAGCATACCTCTATAAATGCCTAAGAAGCATATAACACAGGAAACAAACAACAAAAGGCAGAACTGCTCATCGACAGTTCATTTCACTGAACAGAACTCCTTATTCAAGGCCAACAATATAGGCAACATAAAAGTTTCAAGTTTGTATTTTCCACAAACTTGTCTATTATGTCAAGGACATTGATGGCTATGAAATACCAGTGGCAAGATAGCAAAACAATATACAGCAAGAAAATTGTTTTTCTATTCTTTTGACAAAAAAAAAAGAAGTGACTGCAGGCATCAGGCTATTTTAAAAATGATAGAGTTGGGATCAGGTATACTGAGAGAAGGTAAAATGGTACATAATTTGACAATGATGAAAAAGGTTAAACATATAAATTTAAAAAAAGTTAAAATACAAGAATGACTAAAATAAAGACCAA